CCTCTCCGTCTCCCACACCACCCGCGGCCCGCGACCCGGCGAGGCGGACGGCGTCGACTACCACTTTGTCACAAAGGACGCCTTTGACGACCTCGTCGCAAAGGACGGCTTCGTCGAGCACGCGACCTTTGGCAGCAACTCGTACGGCACCTCAAAGGCCACCATCGAGGAGCAGTCCGCCAAGGGCAAGCTCGTCGTTCTCGACATCGAGATGGAGGCACGTTTGCTATACACCCTCCTTTCTGGCGGCAAATCCACCCGCAATGCTGACACGAACCACAAATCTAGGGAGTCAAGCAGATCAAGACGTCAAACTTCCCCGCCCGCTACGTCTTCATCGCGCCCCCCTCAGAAGAAGAGCTCGAGAAGCGACTCCGCGGTCGCGGCACCGAAAAGGAAGAGAGCATCCAGAAGCGCCTCGCGCAAGCCAAGCTCGAGCTGGCCTACTCCAAGACCCCCGGCGTCCACGACCTGATTATCGTCAACGACGACCTGGAGAAGGCGTACAAGACTCTCGAGGACTTTGTCTACAACCCTTCTCAGTAGAGAGGAGTCGTCGTCGTCGTCGACCATAATGAGGAGCGCGCAAAAGAGAAAGAGAGCGAGAGAGGGAGGTTGGAGTGGATGACACGGTGGACGGGGCGTTGGAAACTGAATATCCTTTAAGAGTTCACAAAAGGGCTGTGGATCTTTTTCATAGCACGGGCGGTCATTGTGAGCATATATACACACATGAGAGCGTATAAAAGCAACCCATAGAGCCACACACACATGTGGCAGAAACCTCTGGCTACCATTCTTACTTAGGACAGAGGAATACACATCACAAGAAACGTCAAAGCCCGCAAGTCATAAGCCATGTCGGTTGTATTCCACGAGGTATCGAAACGAACTCTCTATCAGAGTACGAATGGATTAAAGTGTAAGAAGAAAATGGGGGTACAAGTGAAGCCGAGCTTGAAATGCTGCTTTAAAAAAAAAGCGGAAATAAGAAAACAGTAGAAGTGCGTCCAGCTGATGAGGCGGAAAGGGGGAATATTGGACTATTTTCGCCAGCACGAGTACTTAAACAACGACCATCAAGTCTAGAGAAGGGGGTATGGGCCTATATCCGTGCGCCACGCAAGCATGTTCGAGCCTCCCATGCGAAATCACTTCCGCCAAGCTTTCCCATGGACGTAGCAGCTGCTACCTCCCCTCTGCATTACTGATCGATGCAGCATCCGCATGCTGTCGAGGCCGTACCGTGCCTGTTCTTTTGTTGGTCTGCGCATAACACCATGAGATTGAAAGTCGTCAGAAACCCAGCTGCCCAAGAGTATCATGGCCGTCAGGCGCCTCGAGTAGGTGGGGGTGGGATGTCCGTAAACTAGTATCCGTTCAAGGTCATTCGTTGAGAGTTCCGGCTGAGCTCACGGTCAGCAGCAGGGCTGATGGGTCTGCTACCGCCACCGTGCGCGCTGCTCTCCTTGAGCGCAAGCAATTGCTTGGCACGGAAAGTCTCGTAGTGGATCTGCGAGGTAGTCTCGATGAGATCCTGGAGGTGGGTGCGGAGAAGGAAGTTTCTCAGGTAGACGAATTCGCAGTGGTTCTCATCCTCAACATTGATGACACCCCACCGGTTCTGGCGACCGCGAACCTGCTTGCCGTTGACAATGATGGACTTTTCGGAGCCGACGACGGCAAAGGGAACGAGATCCTGCAAGGTATGTTAGCAATTGGAATGTGCGCGGGCCACAGATGGCATGACTGACCTTGATCTGGGTGTTCAAGCTGCGCTCCTCGTCATCAAACTCGTCGTTGTCGTACGGGTACATCTTGAGGTTGTGGAAAGCGAACTCCTCCTTGATACGCTCCTTGAACTCTTGACGCTCCTCGAGAGTCAGGGTATCGGACTTGGCGATAACGGGAACGACGTTGACGACATCGGACAGCTTCTTCAGGACGACAATGTCGATGGGCTTCAGGGAGTGGCCCGAGGGCTGGATGAAGAAGAGGCAGGCGTGGATGCGAGTGTCTTGAATGTAACGCTCTCGCTGAGCGGTGAGCTCCTTTCGCAAGTAAGCGGAGTGTTGGTCCTTGATGTACTTGACGATGGGATCCCAGCAGCGGTCGTTATTGACCAGGTCGCCGTATCCAGGGGTGTCGACGATGTTGAGGCGCAGACGGACGCCATTCTCCTCGATCATGTGGGAGACGGCCTGGATCTCGGTGGTGGAGCGGACGGGCTCATCGGGCATCAAACGACCCTTGGAGTCGATGAGGTGGGAGGCGAAGATGGTGTTGATCAGGGTGGACTTGCCCAGACCAGTCTGGCCTATATCGTGGAAACACGAGATACAATCAGTCGACTGCCGACGCGACCTTGGGAGACAATCCAGCTTGCTAGGCCAGTGATTGTGATCTGGGATTGCGGGGGGAATAACTTACCGACACAGATGACGTTGAACTGGAAGCCTCTCTTCAGGAGCTTCTTCTCAATCTGGGACGTGATGCTGTCGAAACCGACATGGGTCTGGGGGAAGATGGTTTGAGGCTGCGCCATTGTGACAGCTTTTCCGCAAGGGAGCGAGAGTGAACGGTGCGCGTGAGTGTGTGCTGTTAAGGAGTGAAGTTGAGATACGTTTCTGTATTCCAAGAAAGGTATCTGTTACTCGAACTTCGAATTGCGGCCTCGTCAAGGGGGGGGAGGAGAGACGGAGTTGGAGAAGGCGATGGGCAGGGAGAGAGGAAAAAGAGGATCACGAGGTTGGCGGATGTTTCTGGAGGACAGAAGCCGGTGAATGAGAATGAGCCCAGGTGGGAAAGTCAACCAAATGATTTGGCCCAACCAAGGGTAATTTCCTCTCTTGCTGGCACTTGCTTGCTACCCGTCCCCGTCCACCCCCCAGTGCCCCCCGTGTCCTGTCTGCCAGGCACTGGCTGTCGCCGTTGGCTGCAGCTAATAGGTTGCTCCTTCCACTCCAGCAAACAAATAATTTCCCTGCAGGGAGGTAGGTGCAGGGGGGGGTGGGAGGGAAAGGGGAAAAGGGGTCTCCATCGCCTTGATTGGCTGATGGCGGTCTGTGCACTACCGAAGCTGTGATTGGCTGGTAGATCTCAATTGACAGCTCCCCGGTCGCAAGCCGTTTTTTTTTTCCGGCTCGGAATGGAACAAGCTTGAGCCTCGCGATGTGCACGACAGTGGTGTAGTAGCAGCTTCAACGTGGATACACAATTTTGCGACAGAGCAGCCACGCAGCCACGAACCCTCGATACCTGGCGGCAAAACAACTTTCGGTCCGACTCGATACCGTCGTCAACCAAGAACCCGGTTCTCCTTTCGGCAGTCCCTGACTCCTCGACGACCCCTCCATCAGAGCTCGAATCGACCGATCACCATCCAAGAAAAATGGCAGCCATCGCCATGGGCGCGCAGCCTTTGCGCATGACCTCCCTCTTCCCCCGCATCTCCGCACCAGCCTTCGCTCAGTCACCAAGAATCCTCTCTCTCTACACACGCCAAGTCACCAACTCGTTCCTCCCGGCGCTCTCCTTCGCGCTTCCGGCTTTCAACCTTAACATCCCCGCCTGGCTCGGCGGCATCTGGGAGTCCATTCTGCGGGCCGTACCCAAGAAGAAGACCTCTCACTCGAAGAAGAGACACAGGCAGATGGCAGGCAAGGCGTTGCAGGATGTCAAGTCCCTGTGCAAGTGCCCAGGCTGCGGCCAGATCAAGAGGCAGCACGTGGTATGCCCACACTGCCTGAGCAGTACGTCTCCCTTGCAAGAGCCACCCTCTGTACACGTCGAACTGACAATCATTGTGCAGAGATCAAGGACATGTGGAATGAGGAGAACCCCTCAGGAAAGTTCGTTTAAATCGCCCAATGGCCGTGTAACATTTCGAGACGTGTATATTCAAGTGTACAATTGGTTAGCATACTTTGGCGTTTGGGACAATCCATCACCTTCTTCCAATGTGCCTAGCTGTCACCAAACTGGCGTCCTCTGGTCATGAATTGAGTGAAGTGGAATCGAATTGCTTTGAAGCGGCATTGGCCTACACCTCTGTCCCAATCGGCGTCAACCATAGGCTGATCATCAAGGGCCTATGAAGCTCCTCGATATCATGTGGAGATTGCGAAGTTGCTCATCATACCTGAGATTCGTCCTCACTGAGGAGGCTCAAGGCTGTAAGCGACGAGATGACGAGAGAATGCAGCTCTAATATGAATCTCAACGCGATAAGCTCAGGTTCATCTGCTTGCCGCTGGGAACGTGGAAACATGTTGGCAAAACAACACGACCATGAACGCATATTCTGTCTGTAGCCCGAAGTCAACGTACGAGGACATTCTAGGCCGGTACGGCTTCTTTTGAGTTCCAGTATCAGAGCTCAATTACAGCTCGGGAGGACTCCATGCATGCAATTCTAATGGCCGGGCCGCTGAGATGGAGCCATCAAGATTGACCTCAGTGATAGACAGAGGCAATTCTACGTTCCATCGTCTGCTGCACTCATTTGATGATGCTCCTTGGTCTTCTCAAGTTTGGCGCCTACAGAGGCTTACGTCCTAAGCGAATTCTTACATTTGTTCTGCCACGACTTCGATGTAATGACCTAGGTCTTGCTGGTGGACCTTTTCTTCGTTCTAGGCTACCGTCCTTGATGACTTGGCCTCAAGAACAGACCACAGGGTACTGATTCGATAGATAGGATCAACAAAGGCATGCTCAACGGGAGCAGAGGCCGTGACCTCAGACAAAGATGGCGACTCAGTTTAATGGTGTTGGCAAGTCCTTCATTGTTCTCTGTGAAAAACAAATGGTATTTGAGACAACAAGAACCAACAACAAAGCGACAACCAAGCCTTGCAATCTGATAAATCATAATCAAACACGGTGATCAGAGATATGTTCATAGACCTTTTGTGAGAAGTCAATCTGCAGGCAAGCCATCGAACTATCTGCGCATCGAGATATCAGACTGTATAAGACAATGACTGTCTCTTCCAAAACCAACCACCACTCACAAGTAAACACAAACACGCGCATCTGATATAACAAACAAGCATCGCATAGACGTAAGTAGATTCGCAAATTCATCTAGTAAGTACGATTCTGGGACTGAGCCAAATTACCGAAATGACACCATCTCAGCCCCCTCGAGACAACTCCAAGACCACCGGTCTGGCAGGCATTCCTATTCCAACCGAGCTCGTCCTGCAGATCGTGAAAGCCATTGGCCCGCGACCGAAGCCAAAGCCGGCAAAGCATCTGAGACTTCCCGGTGCTCTCGAGGCCGAGGCTGACTCCGATTCAGATGACTTAGAGATAGTAGACAACTACTTTTACGAAGATCCCAATAAGCCGACACAAACGGACGTTCTCGACGGCATTACCGACCTCAAGAACCTGACTGTCTCTTGTAGAGCACTGTACCAAGTCCTGAGAGGTGAGCTTTACAGACGAAGTGGGCAAGAGGACGACTGGTATGCTCTTCGATGGGCCAGCTTTCACGGCAATCTCTGTGCGCTGGAAGCAGCCGTCGAGGCCGGCGCAACAGTCAACTACGCCTTCTCAAAGGCGGGAACTCCAATAGACACGATGAAATACGGACGCGTAGATAGCACCTTTGAAAGCAACTTCCCCAGACTGCCGAGGTCAATGACGTACAACTTTGGCACGCCCTTGCTCGCGGCGGCGTATGGCGACGTCACCCGGCGACATCAGGCAATCAAGTGGTTGCTCTCCCACGGCGCAAATCCAAACGTCACAGACGCCAACGGCATCACTCCGCTGCATATCGTATGTAGATGGGGCGTGCGAGCGAGCGTGACCGTCGAGCTCCTCTTAAAGAAAGGCGCAGACGCCAATTCCCTCGGCCCTCGAGGGTGGACGCCTCTGCACATGACGTGCTATACGCGCAGATGGCATCCTGACCCGGAGGACCCTCGGCGTCTGTCTCAGCAGAAGCAAGATCTCGCCATGATACCTACTGCAAAGGAGCTGATCAAAGCAGGGGCTGACTTGCGGGCCAGGACGACGTTGGGCGGGGCTAAGGAGTCTGGCGAGCCCTACATCGGTGGCCTGACGCCGTATGAGTTGGCTCTTTACTGTCAGAACGTTACGATGGTCGAGTTCTTCCGCGAGCAGGAAGCGATTGCTTCGGTTAGGTGAGTTGAGATCATAGAGTAACCCGGCAAGTTTGAGGGCTAGAGATTATTGTTTGAAATGGCGTTGCGAGATAGCTCTGTAGTGCGAATAAAGAATTCGAGGTCGTTTGGACTTATACAAAGGGTTATCAAAGTCTAGAAATAGAGTCATATAAGTGAGTAGTATTGTTTCTTGAAGGCAAATTGATCTTCTGGCCATCACATATTCTCATTGAAGACAGGCCAGGATTTTTCCGAAATAAGTGTTTCTCGCTATACAGAATTAAAAGATGAAAGAAAGAGTGAGGTTGAATCAAGTCGGGGCGCTGAGGTAAACTGAGCAAGGGTACTTGCTGGTGCCCCTCCATTGCCCCTCCTGCCGTGCCCCAGCTGCTCTTTGCAGGGGTCTTTTCTCGCAAATGTGTGATGTCAGCCCCCACCTTCTCGACCACTTCGCGTCCATTACCTTCCCGGTCCTACTCACAACCGCGCATCAGCCACAGCGGTACGAGCTTCGCATGGGCTTGGAATCATGGTACGACCTCAGTTGTCTGTTTGTATACGAAAGGGAAGCTAACTCAGCCAGTCGAAACAATATTTGACCACACACACTGTGGATAATGGTGAGCTACCTACCAGCTAGAGCTTGAGAACCTCCGAACCATCGTCTCCAGAGCTTCATCTTGCTAACATGGCGCAAAATTAGCCCACATAACCGACATTTTCAGTCTGGCCACTACCTCAAGGGCTGTGTTGTCTGCGAGCGGCTCATCGACCCTCCACATCCACGACACCGCCGACCCCACGATCTCCATCACGCAGTCCATCAGCGGTGCACACAAGCTGGGCTGCCATCACATCTGCACATCCCGCAATGGTCTAGTCGCCGCGAGTGCAGGCTTCGCCGGCGAGGTGAAGATCTGGGTCATCAACAAGGACACGAGCGAGTGGAAACTCCACTCGGAGATCACGAACAAGGCGGCCAAGGCGGGCGAGGTCTGGGCCATTGCGCTCAGCGAGGATGGAAAATTCCTGGCGGGCACGACCTACGACGGCCGGGTCAATGTGTGGGACGTTGGCGAAGAGGGCACGCCCAAGATCAGAGAGTACGAGACGGGAAGTCCTGGCCAGGGGAGCTTTGGGATGTCGGTCGACTTGAGCCGTGATGGGCGGTACACTGCCAGTGGCCACCAGAACGGTGCTGTCTACGTCTTCAACAACGACAACGGAAAGTTGCTGTTCTCACTGCCAGGTAACAAACCCATATATTTTACCCGCAACGATCGTTTGCTAAAGGAGTGTCTCCAGGCCTGGTGAAGTCTGTCCGCTCTGTCGCATTCTCGCCTGGAAACACCAGACTCGCTGCTGCTGGCGACTCATCCGTGATTGCCCTTTACGATATCAAGAACGGCGAGCAAGTCAGCAACATGACTGGCCACTCCTCATGGATCACATCTGTCGACTGGAACGACACGGGCGAGTACTTGCTTAGCGGAGCAATGGACGGAAAGGTCAAGGTCTGGTCAGTGGAGCGTAGCGCCTGTGTCGCGACGCATAGCGAGACAGACAAGGCCTTGTGGGCTGTTAAGTGGCTCCCGAAGACTGGAAAGAACGAGTCTTTCTGCACGGCGGGCGCCAACAGGAGCATTTCATTCTATAGAGAGGCAACTGGTGCATAAAGGAGTAAGGAAAACCAAAAAGTCAAGGAAGAGTCGGCGTGCATCTACAATACCCTGGAATATGAAACTTCCTGCGGCAGATCCAAAGACAGACGATAGAGACACGTCGAAATGAATAATCACGATGATGATGAGGACAGTGTCAGCTACTGTGCGTATTGCTCAACGAACACAGTATCTTTGAGACGATCACGTGCTTTGGCTCCAACCTCGCGTTGCCCCGCCAAATTAAAGCCCCTGCCACCTTCCTACCTCTTTCGTCATTCATTACACCCCCAGCGCTGGTTCACGGATGACATTGCGACAACACCCATTGGCGACACTATCTGAAGCATTCACCTTCGGTCAGTGATATATCAGATTCATCAGATTGACGTTATCACTACTTCGATTTTTCGTAACTCAATCACTCAAACTTGGCGTTCTCATAGCCACCCATTTAGACCCCTGCCAGTCTACGCACTTGCGACAATTCACACAATGCCAACCACTAGGAGATCAACAGGAGGAGGTCGCGCCAGGCCTGGCCCGGCACGAGGCCAATCGACCATCAGCTTCTCTAACAGAGTGTCGAAACCCGTACCCAAGGACACCAAGAAAACAGTGGCTCTTTCCGCGGCCATTGACCGATCGGACGTAGCAAAACCAAGCAACAAGGAGCACAAGGATGTCGTCGACGAGATCCAGATCGAGGAGCCCGTGACGCCCGAGGTTGAGAATGTTGAAGCCAAGGAAGAAGTCCCCGAAAAGTCAGAGGCCGAAGTGAGGGCCGAGAAGATCAGCGACGCGCAGATCAACAAGTATTGGAAGTCGATCGAGGCTCAGCGCATTGCGCCTAGGGTGCACCAGGGTGATGTGAGTCTGGCTGAGAGGGTTTTGCGATACTTTGATGTTAGCTCTCAATACGGTGTAAGTTATTCTGACCATAACTTTTCGCTGGCCGGAGATACTGATATGACTTGCAGCCCTGCATCGGCCTCCAGCGCATGAAGCGGTGGCAGCGCGCAGAGAGGCTAGGTCTCAACCCGCCTATCGAGGTCCTTGCGGTACTCCTAAAGGAGGAGAAAAAGGGCAACGCTTCGGGGCGGGCTCACTTAGACGAGCTTATGAACTCGACAGCGGTCGGAGCCTCATAATTGTGGAGGATCTCAGCAAGCGTCTACAAAGGTGAAAAAGGTCAAAAGAGTTCACCCCCCCGGTGCTGAACTGGGGGCTACATCTCTTGGTGCTCATGCTGGGAAATTTTTGGGTGCTCATGCTGGGATTCGAACTCGGTACTCGTATGCGCTGAGCCTGTCGTCGAGTAGGCTGGTTGGCGATTTGATTGTTGACCATGAACCATTCCACCACCCACGCCACAGTTTGACCTGACCCCCGACCTAGGGGGCGCCTGCTGTGCTGGTGAGAGGAATGGGACTGAGGGGGTATATGAAGGCTCTGATCGTGGCGGGATGGCACCGGATGAGAGTTTGGTCGTGTATTCGTGGACCCTTTGGGGGGTGGCTGACCGGGTGATCGTCGAGGTGCCTCCTCCCCGCGGGAACCATGTGTGAATAAGCAGACGGAGTTTGGAGTTTCTAGCGGTTCGATGGCTTTTGACGAATCGGTTCTCTGAGGAAGAAAATACGATGCATGCGACACGAGGGTTTTGCTGTAAATTACTACGCGAGATGTTCTATGCTGGACACCAGCGAACATAAATTATACCCCTTATCAGAGGTGATAAAGGTCTCTCGTCTCCCCATCTTGGCCATATCTTGATCAAGCTGCTCTCTACCTTAGTACCAAATACTCCGCGTTCTGTGATGTCCTATCGTCTCCGTGCCAGCGGCCTCCAGCTCCTTCATGGTATCATACAAAAAGAAATCGATCAAAATGGCGTTGACGCTCGTTCCGGGGTGGTCCCTCTGGATCTCCCGTTTGATGAGCTCAACGCACCAAATACTGCACGCTGTTTCCGTAGTTAGCAAGACACATGGAGAAGTGACATGGTCGCAAAGGCTCACCTCTCAATTGCAACTCCAACCTCGATCCGCTCTCAATAACCCGCTTATCAGTGATAGCCGTCGCCAGCGAAGGGCTATAATACAGACAACCCATGGTGCTGAGAATCTGCGGGACCCGGTAGTCGGCGAACATGGTAATCTTGTCAATATCCTTGAAGGCACCGATGCCCTCACCGCCAAAGCATGCCCAGATGTCGGCCACGAGAATCTGCGCCCTCTTGAGGATTCTCACCGGCTTCCGACGGCCGTCGAACTTGTGCTCATCGCGGAAACAGACGAAATCGCGAGCGAGCAAGTTCACAAGCCTTGCGGCCGACCCGTTTGCGGCCTCGATGAGTTTCGTCACGCTGCAACTGTACCTCTCATACAAGACGGTACCAGCTTCCCGCAAGCACGCCAAGCGTTCCTCGAGAAGGGGCATCTCCTCCTCCGTCTTGGAGCGGAAGACGTGCCTGAGGACCTCCAAGTTGCACTCGTCCTCGCTCTGCCAAAAGTCGGAGCTGGTGATGGGGATGCCCTCCTCGAGGGCGCGCTGCAGCGAGGCGACCATGCTCCAGTAGCCCGTCCAGGTCTTGCCGCGATACTCGACGGCGTACCTCTCGTCCTCGGGCTTCTCCGACCAGAAGCAGAAGTTGAGCAGGTCCATGGTGAAGATAAAGTTGGCGGTGCTCTCGTCCTTTGTCTTTGGGTGCAGCTCGTGCTCTGCCCAGGTGGAGGTTGAGTACTTCTTCTGCTCCATCTGGGCATAAATGGTGGCGGCGGCCCTCTTTGTGGCCCTCATGTCGATGGCGACGTCGATGGAGTTGTCGTAGACGAACTCGGCGCCGTCGAGGACGCCCGTCTCGGGTTCATCGTCAATGTTGAGCTTCCCCTGGAACCGCTGGCGGAGGAGGGCCAGGAGTTCGAGGTCGGGCTCGTCGTCGGACATGATTTGGCGAGTATTCCAGTGCCCCGCGATTTATCGATATGCTTGCAGGCGGTACCTGCTGAAAGAGAGAGCCGCAGGAATCCGACTTTATGTAAAACTTGGCTGCACCTTTCAGATGCTTCTAGCCGGCGGCAATGCAGTAGATCTTTCACAGAGTTTGGACGACGATGAGGGCAAGAATCGCAGGACCAGAACTTTGGACTAGGCGGTAAAGAAGAGACCCATATTGCACTGACCCGTTTGTTTTTTGTTGGATCAAAAGGCGGGATCACAAGCGGCGATTATCCCAGAGGACCCCTCCGAGTGAGTGACCTGCGATCTCGTCACTTCAAGGATATCTGTAAACCCCGTTTCTGAGGTGAGCTTCCAACCGGTTGCTTTCCACGTGAAAGGGGGATAAGAAGCGGCCCTACGATGGATAGTGAGGACTTGAGGAACCGGTGGAGGCCCAACGAACCTTCGCTGGGCAAGCGAGGTCGGCCTGGGGGTGTTTGGTGAGGTACGTAACTAAGGTAGGTAGGTACGTAGTAAGGTGCCTTACCTAGGGGAGATACTTTCCAAGGTTCTAAAGGTAAACTGGGCTAGAGGCACGGTACTTTACCTTAGGTATCTTCCTGATAGCGAGCAGGCGTCCAGTGTTTCACGGTGGCTGTAGGTGCATTAGACCGCTGAGGTTACAACGTGCTCCAGCGAGCTTCCACTGGCAGGCGAGAGGTACCCGCCTTTATCTGCCAATCAGAACTCGAGCGCGGAAGTTCCCCAGGAACCAACAGCTCCAATCCCTGCTGGGATCTCGTCACCGGCTGCCGGTATTGGCTGGAACCTTGTGCTAGGCGATCGCTCCTTCCGCTGACCTCAGGGAAAACCTCAACCTTGGAACCTTCCTCTTCGCAGCCTCGCTCCCGTGCTGAAACCACCCGCCGCCGTCGTTCCATCCCACCTGGCGCGGCTTATTTCCACCCTCAACTTCCTCTTCCCAAAACCACGCGATCGCACCAATATTTCCCCTTCTCAACCCATTGACACGTCGACGCATATAGAACCGACACCTCAACAACACTGCGATCGACTGAAAGCCGATGGATTCCACCGCGGAAGCAGGAGCTGCACCTGCAGCAACCGCGGCAGAGGCGACAGCGCCCGCCGCCGCGACGGCGCCTACACCGGCATCAGCACCACAGCAACAGCAGCAACCAGCACAAACGGAAGCAATTCCCGCAGCTCCACCACCCGCGCAAACGACGCAGCAGCAACAGCAACAAAAGCCGCAGCAACAAAAGCCGCAGCAGCAGCAGCAGCGACCTCCCGCCGTGCAGACGCGTGATCGATTCTTCCAGCAATCGCTCGGCGGCTCCTTGAACGCCAATGTGAAGAAGGTACGTCGCAACCCTCGTCAGAGCCCCGGCGCATCAGACCACGCGACCTACCCAGCATCGCGGCTTTCATCCAACGGCGTCCCCTTTGCCTGTTCCAGAAGCACAATTTTTTCTCCGATGATGGGTTTCGATGCAATTGAAGAGTCAATGGAGCTGACTTACAACACGCAGGCGCGCGTTCTTATGGTTGGAGCTGGCGGTATCGGATGCGAATTACTCAAGAACATCGTGCTTACGGGTTTTGGTGAAATTCACGTCGTCGACCTCGACACAATCGATTTGAGCAACCTCAACCGACAATTCCTCTTCCGACACGAGCACATCAAGAAGTCCAAGGCATTGGTATGGTACCAGAAGCAGTGATATAGATGTGGAGAGTATTGCAATACTGACTTACAAAAAGGTGGCCAAGGATGCTGCGCAGCCCTTCAACCCCAAGGTCAAGATCGTCGCGCATCATGCCAACATCAAGGACGCCCAATTCAACGTCAAGTGGTTCCGCGACTTCAACATTGTCTTCAACGCGCTGGATAACCTTGAGGCTAGACGGCACGTCAACAGGATGTGCTTGGCCGCGGACGTACCTCTCATCGAGAGCGGCACGACGGGATTCAACGGCAACGTCCAGGTCATTAAGAAGGGTGTTACCGCATGTTATGACTGCACGCCCAAGGAGACGCCCAAGTCTTATCCAGTCTGCACCATCCGAAGCACCCCTAGCCAGCCCATTCACTGCATCGTGTGGGGCAAGAGCTATCTTCTCAACGAAATTTTTGGCGCGAGCGAAGACGAGTCCGCTTTCGACAACTCGGCCGATGCCGACAATGCCAAGGAAATTGAAGAGTTGAAGAAGGAAGCCGCGGCTCTGAGAACGATTCGCGAATCCTTGGGCACCGATGCGTTCCCGCAGCTGCTCTTCGATAAGGTCTTCAACGCCGACATCATGCGACTTGCGTCCATGGAAGATATGTGGAAGTCCAGACGGAAACCCGAGGCTCTCGACTACAAGACCCTGTCAGAGCAGTCAGCCGCAGCCCTCGCCTCGAAAGAGAGTATTCTGCAGGGAGGACAGCAAGTATGGGCGTTGGAGGAGAATTTTGCAGTCTTCGTCGACAGCCTGGATCGTCTGAGCAAACGGATGCAGGAGCTGAAAAAGGCGCACAAAGAGGACGCATCTGGACCTGAGCCCCTGATCACCTTCGACAAGGACGACGAGGACACGTTGGACTTTGTGACCTCGAGCGCAAATATTCGATCATCCATCTTCGGCATTGAGAGAAAGTCGCGCTTCGATATCAAGCAGATGGCCGGTAACATTATCCCTGCCATTGCGACAACCAATGCCATTGTCGCCGGCCTGTGTGTTTTGCAGTCGTTCAAGGTGCTGAGAGGCGATTTTACTCAAACCAAGGAGGTAAGGTCGAAACCTTTTGCGTCTTTGGCCCAAATTCGGTTTTCTAATGTCTCTATCTAGGTGTTCATCTCTCCTCACAATCCTGCCCGTCTGCTTAACTCGAGCAAGTACCGCGCCCCTAACCCAGATTGTCCGGTATGCAGCGTATATCAGACGAGCGTCACTGTCGACATGTCCCGAGCGACGCTCAAGGACTTTGTGGAAGACTTTGTGCGCCTGGAGCTTGGCTACGGTGACAAGGAGTTCGCCCTGAATAATGACGTCGGGCCGCTCTACGACCCGGATGAGACGGAGAACCTCTCCAAGAAGCTCAGCGAGCTTGGGATCAAGGAGGACTCTTTCCTCACCATTATTGACGAGGACGATGAAGAGCCCTATGTCAACGTCGTCATCAGCATTCAGGAATCGTACGTTCATCTGCTCAAGAGCTAGTATTAAACCAAAAGCTAACAACCAAACAGCAAGGAGCCCCTGACTGACAAGCCCATCCAGGGCTTGGTCGCGGACAAGAAGCCCGAGATCCCTCGCAAGCCCAAGAAGGAGGCATCTGCCGAATCCAACGGCACGAGTGAGCCAAATGGCAAGCCCGCTGGTGAGGCATCGGAGGGGACACCTAATCTCAAGCGGCCCCGGCCGGATGACGGAGACGAGCCGATCGAAGCTAAGAAGGCCAAGGTTGTCGCGACCACGAGCGGCAGCGACGACGTGGTTATTGTGGACGATTCTACCGGCGGAGCCATTGTCATTGACGACGACTGATTGCGCATGGATCCACTTTCTTCCAAGTCAAGGGTGTTCCTTCTACGTAAAAATGGGAGCTGCACGCCAGCTCAGACGGCACTGAGCCCGCCATCCAAGTTGAGGATGCAGTTGTTGGCGTAGGTGTTTTGAGCAAGAAAGACGGCAGCATCGGCGACCTCGTCAGGCCGCCCCAAGCGGCCGAGTGGTATCCTCTTCTCGAGAGGTTCCCGCGACATTGCTGTGATAATTTGTATATTAGCTGTTGGCCTACCTAGCCAAGGAATCTTGGTGTATGAGGTCCTCTGAGGTCGGGCCCGCGAATGAGAGACAAACAGAGGATCTCTTACCGGCAAGCATGTTTGTTTCTATGTAGCCAGGAACGATGGCGTTGGTCCTGATGCGCAGTGGCCCTAACTCGACGGAGAGGGCGTGGGTGAGGCCTTCAGTAGGGCGGCACGGAGGTGTTAGACTTGCTTCACTAAATCGGGGGAATGGGCTAGAAAGGATACAGCCACGGCGACCCCGCGATGTATGAGAGACGAAGCAGAGACCAATAAAAAGAAGAACCTACCAATGATACCGGCCTTTGATGCAGCGTAGACACTTGTGCCAGGGCTGCCCTTTTCGGCCAGTAAGCTAGCAACGTTGATAATGCAGGCTGAATAGAGTGGATCGCGTGGTTAGCGGGGCTGTTGATGCAGTGCGTGCGCGTAAGTGATGTGTGCAGCACATCGTTGGCATGAGGCTGGCGGATCTGTGCGGTGCGGGTGGGTGTTGCGATCGGATCGATCGTGTGTGTGTGTGTGTGGCAACAACGGGTTGTGTGGGAAAAGCGAATATGCATGGTTTGTAGCGATGTGCCATGACTTACCATCCCTGTCTGCGCGTCTGCGCTTCATGCGTTGAGCCATGTACCTAGACATGAAAATTGTGCCCATGAGGTTTGTGTCGATGAGCTCTCTTGCGGCCTGTGGGGAGGTGTTTTGCAACAGCTGGAATTGCGCAATACCCGCGGCGTTGACAAGGACGTCTATCTGGCCCGTTCGTTTCTGAGCAGAGGAACGGGGAAGTCCCTGTCAGTTAATGTGTCTACCTATTCATGGTGCGATAGCTAGGTAGCCTCGTTTCTCTCAATGCAGTATTTTGATGTGTTGTTGATGGCAGGTGGAGGTACGAAAGATGGGTGGGGGATGAAGACAAACCCAGATATCATCGAGAACAGCCTCATCACGAGCGTCGGCGGACACGTCCATGACGGCGTAGGAATGGGCTGGTTTAGCCTCTGAGGGCGACGACGAGGTGGAGGCAGAGGCAGAGGAGGTCAGAGGGGCGAGGCGGTGATCCCGGAAGGGCGGGAGCTGGGCGCAGAGGTCACGTAGCTTGTCTTCCTTGCGGCCGAGGAGGGTCACCAGGGCGCCCTCGGCGGCGAAGCGGGAGGCAATTGCGGCGCCGATGCCTCCGTAGGCGCCGGTGACGAGGCAGTGTCGGGCTCGGAGGGGAAGAAGGGCGCCGGACATTGTGATTGGGTTGAGTGTCCTGACGTAAGGTAGCTGTTCTAGAACCCGTGTTTGCTGGTGAGAGTCTCTTTACTCAGTACGACGTGTGTTTGAGTACGATGGTGCTCGTCGATGAGGATCGGGCGGTTTAGCTTAATGGTTGGGTGAGGTGAGGTATGTGGAAGGGGAGCTCTGGAGCTTCGAAGCTTTGGACTTGTGGACGCCGTAGAATGTCTAAGATGCTAGATGCCTGAGTCTAGAATTCTGGTGGGGGTGTCGTTGTATTCTGCATGGCATCTTCCGTGTAACCTTTCTAGAGCAGGCACCCCATTGCCCGCCCTTGCCCGCCTATTTTACACTACCTTACTCAGTTTGGTAGGTACTCGGAGTAACCTGAGGCACCACAGGGCACCTACAGGTCATTATTCTGGTAGTGACGAGAAGAAAGCGACAGGAGTGACGACAAACAATGACCAGTGAGGTCAGAGTGTCGTGTTCTCGAAAGGCAGAAAGAAGGGGCCCTCGGACTAGTTCAATGCAAATGCGGAATGGTCTTGGGCATCTGAAATCCCCCTCTCTGGCGAAAGACGGTAGTTAGTGCATAGAGAATTAGACCAAGACAGGATGAGACGAGAGCGAGAGCTGCTGATTCTGGGGAGATGCTTGTTCGAGGAGAGGTTAGCTTGGGCGGCCGTTGATGTCTGTGTGCGCGTAACAATGGCATTATTCGGGGTGGTCCTGGTGGATTTTTCTTGTCTGCCACTTGGGCTGCTGGATGACTTTGCTTGGAAGGAGGGGGGAGGAGAGAAGGAGGAATCTGATCCCGAGGCTTGATGGATACTTCGTTCGCTGCCGCCCCATTTGCTCTATTCATACATCTTTTCGTCATCTCATATTCAAGCTCTTTGATGGTGAGACAGATGTCTGTCCGTTGAAGACGTGAGCCACCAGTGGACCCCACTCCTTCTGGTGCATGAAGAGAAGAAGAGAAAGACCGAGTCGAGGTCCATGATCTCGTGCCCTTGTGCCCGTGTCAATCTCGAGGTCTTTGCGAGGCACTGTATGTCGAGTTGGGTGTTGAAAGAGGAATGCATCCATCATACTGAAGGTACTTACTTATGCAATCCATGTGAGTTAAGGTAGGTAATGGAAGTAGTAGTGGTACAAGGTCGGGACTGGGGAATCTCGACGGCGGTCCACATGATAAGTACATTCCATAAGTACCCGAAGCCTGTGAAAGTGAAAGCTTGAGGTAGGCACCTTATTGGCGACTTCGAAGCTGGGAAGAGCTAAGGCGAGCGCCCCCGCCGTTGTCGATTCAAAGGTTGAGCAGTCTCGGTTGCAAGTCCAAGGTGCTAGGGGTGGTGGGTGGGCGCAGTGGTCACTGTACTGCTGTCAGGTACCGATCCATCTGAGATGCTTCCATCTTTCCATGAGGTGTTCGTAACGCCTGACACAACGTAGCGCTACCTTAGCGCGGGACCCTTCCGTGCCAGATTCATTGTCTCTTTTTTCCTTCCTTCTTTCTTCAGTCTACCCGTTGTGCCGTTCAAGAGGACCTCTATGCTCCTTTCCTGTCGTCTCACAAGGTAGCCAAGTATTGAAGAATATACTTTAGCTTACCTCAAGTGCCTCTGCCGGCGTCCCAAGAGTAACCCCTCAAGAGAAAGGTACATCGTCTGAGGACTAAGGTACCACAGAGTAAGTTAAGTAAATGTACCTTGCCCAACACAGCACACCACTCCAGCAGTTCCAGTTCGAGTTCCAGTTACAGGTTCCCACGCCCGTTTGTGGCGCGAACGCAACATCGCAATCCCACTACCATCCATTTGCTGCACCTGCGAATTTCCCCTGCTCTGTCATCGTTTCCCTCCCACAACCTTGACGCCAAACCTCGCTTCCTGCGACATGCTCACAATCTTCTAGTCGTTGGCGATTCCTCCTCTCTCCCAGCAAGCGCATCGCTCGCTCCTCGGCCTCCTAACGAAGTAACCGCCCCCCGATGCCCAGTCGCTCGCCAACTCTTCGAGCAATTGCATCCGCATCTGCTTCCCCTCCACCTTAAACGCCTTACACCAAACACTTCCCTCACCCCCTCCGAGCCTGCGACTCTACCGCGACGCAGACCGAACACAACTCGAAGAGAAACAAACCACACTACGAGAATACGAATGGCCGTATGCCTCACGATCACGACATCAGACACCGCCCGATGACTAGCCATACCAATGGCGCCGCATCTGCGCCGAATCCCCTGCCGGACGCTACCCTTGCGAATCCAAAGCTTGCCGACCCAGCTGCTATCGCCGAGGCCCCCGCCCCGCCTCTGATCGTAGTCAAGAGCCCCAGCGACGCCCCCGATGCGGGCCTGAGAAGTCTCGATCATTGTACGCTGCTACACTCTCCCAGCACTGCCTTTCGTGCCGTCACTCTTGTCTTGAGCCTGGCGCATCGACAAGAACCCCATATACCTTGCCCGCACGCAAGCCTCCAAGCCTTGAGCTGACCATGCCTGTCCACAGACAAGAGAGCGCTGCCCCCATGGCGATATCGACTGCGGCAGTCGCTGCTGCCACTGATCCGATGGGAGACACCCTACCTGGCTTATCTGCAGGAAACGATGCGCACCCCGTGGCTCGATAGTTACTTTGCGATCACGGCCAACCTCGGTACTCATACATTCTTCATGATCGGTCTACCCATGCTCTTCTGGTGTGGGTACGCCTCCTTTGGCAAAGGGTAAGCAGGAGTCGCCGTGCAGAATTCTATAGAAACTATCTGACAATCTGCCATCTCACAGTGTCATCCATATCCTGGCCGAGGGCGTCTTCTTTACCGGCTTTATCAAGGACTTCTTCTCCCTACCCAGACCGCTGTCCCCGCCACTGCATCGGATCACCATGTCTGGATCTGCTGCGTTGGAATATGGCTTCCCTTCAACACATAGCGCCAACGCCGTGTCAGTGGCTGTGTACGCAGTATTGCTTCTCCGGAGCCCTGAGAACGCCATGCCAGAGACGACCAAGACAGTCCTCGAGGGCCTGTCGTACTTCTATGCCATTTCTATCATTCTCGGTCGACTGTACTGTGGTATGCATGGCTTCATCGACGTCATCGTGGGCTCGGTCTTGGGTGCTGCAATCTCTCTTGTCGAGTTCCACTACGGCCCGCCGCTGGACGCGTACATGCACAGCAGCTCATGGTGGGCGCCCGTTATCGCTGCTCTTGTCGTCATTGTTCTCGTGAGGATACACCCTGAGCCAGCGGACGACTGCCCTTGCTTCGACGACAGTGTAGCCTTTGCTGGAGTCGTGATTGGCCTGGAAATCGGAACATGGATGTATGGGCGGACTTCAATCGATTCGTTCGGAGGATCTGCCCATACCGTCGAATCCATTGATCTCAACGCGCTGGGCTGGCACATTGTGTTAGCTCGTGTTGTGTTCGGCGTAGTTGTCATCCTTCTATGGCGAGAGGTTATGAAACCCACCATGCTCAGCGTTCTGCCTCACCTTTTCCGTCTCCTGGAGAAGGTCGAGTGGAATCTTCCCAGACGTTTCTTTACACCAGCGTCCATGTACAAGTCTATTGACCCGGGCTCGAGGATGGATACGCTTATTCCCAACGTCAGAGACTTGCCCCGCGTAGTTCAGTCCATTCGTCACCCGACAACGCGTGGTCGCTCGGTATCGATCGGACCACAGAGTGCCGCCGATGCGTACGAAACACTCGCTTACCGCGAGCGACGACGTAGGGAAAGTATCGGCAGCAATGGCAGCATCAAAAGCAAGGGCAGTATGCACGAGCTTCGAGAGAAGAGCAGCGACTGGGAAGGGAAGGGAGCAACATCTGGTGTCCAAGGCCACCACGGCAACTCCCTAAACGACTTTGAGCGCATGATGGGTACGGGCAGCGTGCTGGCGAGCCCGAGCGAGGAGAAGGGCGAGGTGGAGCTGAGGGTCGGCCAGCAAGATGAGATGAGTGAGAAGGAAATGTTTCTTCGCCTCATCCGCCCACGTGTGCGTTACGACGTTGAGGTGGTGACCAAGCTGGTTGTTTATACAGGTAAAGCTCAATCCCTCTTCCGCAAGATCCGATCTTGCTCCACATTTGCTGACAGATGCCGACAGGTATTGCTTGGCTGGGCGTCGGCCTCATCCCAATCATGTTCGAGTTGATCGGCCTTGGATCGAACCATCTCCGCACTGCGTGAACCAATTTCACATTTTGGATGGGATTCATTCTCCATGACCGCCCAGAGGGGTACCCTCAATTCACATATGTCTCTTCTATAAACAATTAACTTCTTGCATGGCGTATCGGCAACGTTGTACAGGAGACCTGCCGACGGGGGAATCGAGGGGTTTGGGAAGAGAAAGAGACGCATAGAACCTTTATCTTTTATTTTATTTTTACGAAGCACGATCATATTGTACATTCTTCTGGCAGTTGCATTGAGCCAGAGGCGGGGGTTTTTTTTTTTTTTCTTTGAATATTTACTCTTATGACGGTATATCATAAACGTCATTTTCTTCCACCCCGTAACGAAAAGGGCTATGAATTTGTTGGCGTCAAAAGGTGGACAGAAGAGTTTATCTACCTTACTTCCTGGTGGTACTATTGTGTGATTTGTTTGCCGAGGTAGAGACATCAGAGCTGGATGAGAGAAGCTTTGTTGGCGCGTTACATCAGTCAAGGATTATCTGCTGTCTTTGCCTCTGCTGTGAGACGTGCGCGTTACTATGGGCCACTTACTGCTCCAGTGTGACTGACGAGTAGCGCCTGAGATAAGGGCACCTCACCTCATCTCAGGCAAGGTGATGGGGAGGTATGATGCCTCTGGGGGTTGGCAGGCATGGAGTGAGACCCACGACAGCCACGCCAGCATACCTACCTAGGTGGTACTTTGTGCATTGTCTTCCTCAGACATGCTTTGTATCCCTCACGTTTTACTGCTGAACCAACTTCAACTCTGCCACTATCATCATTTGATGTGATGGCAGACCCTTTGCAACTGGAGCCTCCATCACCCTTAGTGATGTCTTCTCAGATCTAGATGATGAGAACCTTGATGGCTCATGATGAGCAATTGATATCTCGAGCTGCGTGCCCACACTGCGCAATAGCCAGGCTTCCGAACAGCGCCGACGGTGGTTTTGGTCGGTATTCTGAAAGGGGGCCCGAAAGAGGGCTTTCGAAGGCAATGGAGCAGTCCAGCGTCAGTATCCACGGGTGGTGCTTAGTCTGGAATCTCGAGGCAAGAGATGGCTCCCATCACAAGAAAACGATATTGACGAGCATCGCAGGAAACCTAGTCACCTTCAATGTTCAGTCGGCGGCGTCTGATTATGACTGGGCAGATGTTGGATCAAAGACCTCGTTCGAGGAGGCCCAAGTCCCCGTTCCTCCAGGAGTCAAGTCAAACCCCTCCCCCATGGTCGGGGACGTATGTGGGGGGTTCTGCAACTCTGATCTTTGCGGCTTCAGCTCTCTCACCCCTCACGCACCGCGGAGCGTGCGGAGTCGACTGATGCTGGACTCTACCTTAGGCAGGCGCATTCCGATAAGGGGCTCTCACACGATAATACCCATGGAAACAGATACTTGGGGACTTGGTTACGATCATCATCCTCGACAAGACTCAATGCCATTACCAACATGAGCAGACCGTCAACCGATCAAGGTCACCGTGAAGCCTTTGGTAGAAGTCGAGCTATCGCGGGCAGTGATGCGGAGAGGAGTCGGCCATTCCGCCCGGCAGCCCTTCTCCCCTACCTTACCTCAGGTCGCTTCCTCCGCCGTGCAGCCAGGCCAGGGTACTCGGTAGATTGGATCATCGGACGATCCGCTGCCGGCCGGCGGATGCCCTCGACCGGTAGGGCTGGATGGGTCACACCACCCCGCGGAGACTCTGGAACTCCAGGTGCCATGCGAGGTTATCAGATCTTGATGCTTCTCTCCATTGGTCGAAACTTTCGAGGAGGGGAAACGGTTCACGATTGCGTTCCTGGCGCGATGTTCCCCTGACACCGTTCGCTACAACGCCCGACCGGGAGCGACGGCATCTTCAGACATCAAATACCAGTCCATGGCAGGTTTCCGCAACGTTCTGTGCGGATTTCCAACATTTACAACGGTAAATATCAGGGAGAAGAAGAAAGTCACGCCGAGACACCAAAGGGCGACAGCTTGCACTACGAAGTAACCCAGCTCCACAGGATCCGAGACCATTGATTGTTTTAATGAGTTGCGCATTTTTGGATGAAGCCATCGAAATATCGACTCTGACAGTGCACTTATAGCTGATGAACCGCTCATATGATGGTAATTCTGAGCCAAGTTGCGCGCATAACTCGCAATCAAATGGCGTCGGCTAGAACAATTTCGCTGTGGTAACAAACTCGACCTGCCCTCACGTGGCGACGTCATTTCCCTGCACTTGCACTCCGGTGCCGGATTCTGCATTTGCCTCGCGTGCCTAAGGCACAGGGGAACCTCCCCAGTCGGGACTAGTGCAGATCTAATCAGTGTGGACCTCGGAAGCGAGGAACTGGAAGTCAAGGGGAAGAGACGGAACTTGGAAGGCACGAAGGCAAAAGAGGGAAGGGGGTCGCCAGCACTGCCCACTTGCCTGCCCCGTCGGATGCTGAAAATTGGAAGGTGAGGTGCCCGCGCACTTTCCGTACCTGAACCACCCGTTCTCTCCCCCCACAGCAAGCAGCAAGCGCAAGTAACAGCAACCACAGCCGCCGCATCTGCCCGATGGTGCAGCTCTTTCTCAACCCGACACCTCTGGTTTTTGGTTCTTTGCAACCAACCTAGAAGAAAAAAAGGCAAAAGGAGCAGAGGCCACGACCCTTTCGAGTATCCTTCAATACCTTGAATGTTTTCATCAGCCGACGAATACCTTATTTCTTACCTTGATGTAAAAAGCCCTCGTCTTTAGTAGGCTGATTTGTTTTGTCAGGTGCGGTGCACGACTGCCGACCGTACCTGCCTTCCCTTCCTTACCTAAGAGTAACCGTCAACCTTGGGAGGTGCAACTTCCGCCCTGCCTGCGCCAGCCCTGGTTCATCAGCCCAGATCCGCCAAAAATCGGCCCATTTAGCGAGCCAGCCCAGCCAGACGCAGTTTCCTCAGTCCTGCCGCTCCCTCTGCGAATACTCTACAGTGGCCAACCCCCCGCAGGATCTGATAACCAAAAGAACCGAACGAATCTGTTCTCCGCACTCAACTAGACGTCTGCACCTCATATTTTCGGCGACTTGAATACACCAAGCCTGCGCACCCTCCTGACACAACCATCTTGACGACGTGCGAGGCAGAAATTCCCAGCGCATCAACGGTCGCATGTAGTCCCCTCCACGATGTCGACCGACGCTGTCAGCGCTCCAGTCTCGGAGCCTGCACCTGTGCCGGCGCAATCCACGACTGGTGACCAGGACGAGGAACCAACCCTTGGCCAGATTGAATGTGCAAAGCCCGCCTTCCTCCACTCGCCCCCCGACAGCAACAATGCGCCCAAGTCGGACGCCAGCGACTCTGAGCTCAGCGATCTCGACGACGATGCCGTCGATCCATCTGCTGCTCCTGCGACCCAAGATGAGGTGCCGCCGCCCGAGGATGACATTGGCGAAGTCCTCCCCGACCACTGGTCCGGGACTGTCCCTGTCTTCAGGCCCACGATGCATCAGTTCAAGGACTTCAAGCTATTCGTACGCCCATGCCACTCCCACTTGTGCCCTATGTCCCCGTGTCTTTTCATCGGCTGACTGTGACCGTGCCTGTAGATGACCAAAGTCGATCATTATGGAATGAAGTCCGGCATCGTCAAGATTATCCCTCCCCCCGAGTGGAAAGAAAACCTGCCCCGACTCGATGACCTAGTGAAGCAGATTCGAGTTCGAGAACCAATCAAGCAAGATATCATGGGATCCAATGGAACCTATCGTCAAGTCAATATTCTTCATCAAAGATCCTACAACCTCCCGCAGTGGCGACAACTTTGCGACCAGAGCGAACATCAGCCGCCAGCGCGGCGAGGCGAGCGCCGAGCCAACGTCGAAAAGCCGAAACCCCGATCCGCCCCCAAACCTCGTACAGAAGCGAAATCGACTCCGGCCGGGTCAAGAAAGCGGGGCCGAGGTCGACCGCGCCGGGGCAAGGCCAAGAGCAAGAACCAGGATGACGATGAGGACGCCGAAGAAGAACAGGAGGAAGAGAAGCGACCGATGACGCCCGTCTCCCCTAAGCCGGCTGCGGATGCGGATGCCAAGGTCAAGGTCAAGAAAGAGGAAGTCGTTGACTCTGTAGAAGATCCGGGAATGGATGTCGACGAAGATGAACCACCAACCGTTGGCAGAATGGGTCGGATGGGTGGCGCGAGACAAGCGAAGCCAAAGACCCAGACTGTTTCGGCCCGTCGGAAGTACAGCAAGAGAGAAGGCTCCGCCATGATTGACGAAAAGGCATTCCAAGACTTTGACTACCAGATGGATGTCTCTGACTATACCCCTGAGCGCTGCGAGGAACTTGAGAGGATATACTGGAAAACTCTCACGTACGCCCCGCCGCTGTACGGTGCAGATCTCATGGGGACTCTCTTCGACGAGTCGACAGAAATGTGGAACTTGAACAAGCTCCCCAATCTGCTGGATGTTCTCGGGACAAAGGTTCCCGGTGTTAACACGGCCTACCTCTACTTGGGCATGTGGAAGGCCACTTTCGCATGGCATTTGGAGGACGTCGATCTTTACAGCATCAACTATCTCCACTTTGGCGCCCCTAAACAATGGTACAGCATTTCACAAGCTGACGCCCGCCGTTTCGAGGCTGCCATGAAGAACATTTGGCCCACGGATGCCAAGGCTTGCGACCAGTTCCTTCGCCACAAGGGATTCTTGATTTCCCCATCGCACCTCAAGCAGCACTACAATATCACTGTCAATAAGTGCGTCTCGTATCCGGGTGAATTCGTCGTTACCTATCCTTACGGATATCACTCTGGATATAATTTGGGTTACAACTGCGCCGAGGCTGTCAACTTTGCGCTCGACTCTTGGCTTCCCATGGGCAAGATCGCCAAACGTTGCGAGTGTGCACAGGCACAAGACAGTGTGTGGGTTGACGTATACGATATCGAACGGAAACTCCGTGGCGAGCCGACTCCTGAGTACGAGGAAACTGACGAAGAAGACGAAGAGGATGATGAAGATGAGGATGAAGACGACGCTACTGGCCTTCCGTCTCCTCCTGGTAGCAACGGCATCGTCAAGTCGGCTCGCAAACGAAAGCGCGCTGCTGGAGACAAAGAAGGCAAGGCAAAGACCAAGCGAATCCGTCTCAAAGTCAAGACACGCGCAGAGCCGACGTGCTGCCTTTGCCCCAGCGATATCCCTGGCGCAGAAGTTTTGCCAACAGACGATGGCCGCAAAGCCCATCGCATGTGCGCGCTATACCTGCCCGAGACCTATATCGATACCGTCGACGACAAGGAGGTCATTGCGAATGTTGCCAACATCAACAAGGAACGCCTGGATCTCAAGTGTCTCTATTGTCGGTCCAAGAAGGGTGCCTGCTTCCAGTGCTCACAGAAGAAGTGTGCCCGGGCCTACCACGCCACTTGCGCGGCTGCAGCGGGTGTCTTTGTCGAAGAAGCCGAAGTGCCAGTCTTTGGCGAAGATGGAACCGAGTACAAGGAGCAAGCCTTCGAGTTCAGCTGTCGCTTTCATCGTACCAAGCGTGATAGGAAACACACTGGTGACTCCTTGGAGGACGACGTGCGGATTCGCGAGGCTGCGACAGCACTCACCAAGGGCGACATTTGCCAGTTGCAGTACTTCAAGGGCGATATCTTTGCCGGTGTCGTGGTTGAGAATCGCGCCGATGAGCAGATGTTCCTCCTTGATATCGTTCCTAATGGGTATGTCTCTGTCGAAAACTTCATTGAACAAAGTCTGACGTGTTGTAGTGATCGTCTCGAAGTCGAGTGGAAGTGGCTTCTATTGCCTGACCCATCTGACTACCACCTTCCGAAGGCGTCTTCCAAGGCTATCCCGATGCCGTCGTCACAGAAAGCAAAGGAACGACTCAATGCGAAGCGCCCTGCTGACGAGATCCCGCGGAAAGATGCTCCCTTTGTTGAAGGCTACACATGGGCAGAGTTCCATCCATGCAACGAGTGTACTAATCCAAACCAGACCAAGGTTGATCTGTCGAAGGATAGCCAGGTCTGGCACTATCTTGGCAAGACGTCCACGGAGGCGAAGGCACAGTACTCCGATGATCCCGGCAAGCAGCTGCACAATTCCAAGAGCAACTTTCTTGATACCATTCCCAAGCCTCCCAAGCCTGTTTCCGCAAGCACATCGCATCGCAGGGTGTCAATCGTTCCACCGCAGCCAGCCCCATTGCCAATGTTTACGCCTGGAGTCGCTGTTCAGAATGGGCCCAAGTCGGAGAAACCGTACGTATATAAGCCCAGGAAACCTGTCGAAACCAACTACGCTGGTACCGGATCTTTCACCACGCAGAAGTTCACACCCAAGGCTACTGCGCCCCCGACTCCCGGAGGACAGCAGCTCCATTTCGGAGCTGATCCTCGATACCCGATCCCCGGGACCCAGTTTGTTCAACAGAAGTTTGCTCCTGACGTACATCAACAATATGTGCCTAGTTCCGCTCCATCTGGACAGGGTTACTACGCGGCTCCGAACTCGATACAACGGCCAAGCCCCTATAGCACCCCGGGGCCGCAACCTGCAGTCAGCGCGCGACCCACGCAACAAACATGGTCGACGCCATCGCAGAACTCCAGACCTCCTTTACCACACAGTGCTTCGCAAAGCTCAACTCAGCAGAATCATCGGAGATACTCGGCCGCCCCAACGCCTTCTGTCGCTACGAAATATGCATTCTTCCAGGTTCACCACAACAGGTCAGATTTTTCCAACCCCAGCAACTTTGTGAATGATACTCACACACTCCATAGAGACTCGAAGACGTACCGAACTCCTTATGCTCCATGGGGAGGGTTCACCAACGGATATGAAGGTAACCTGCGAGCTCACCTCATGAGGACGTCTCCAGAAGCCTTCTTCAAGAACCGGCAAGGCTCCATTCAGGGAGACACAGCGACACCTGCTCCGAATACGGGCCCGCAGGGACCTGCTTACGGTGGCCCATACCACAACACACTGACGAATGTGATGCCTCAAGGCTCTATTGGCATGTATGGTGTCAAAACAGCGGCCCCTTATTCTTCACCAGCACCGCAGATCCCTCAGAATCACACCAGGGCGCCGTCTTACTCATCGATATCTCCATCTCCAGCACCAGGCAGCTCTCGACCCAGCTCGCATGGTCAAAGTCAGGGTTGGCATGCGCAGCAGCCACAATCGGCGCCGCTACACCCAGCGATCCGGCCGCAGTACGGAGGCTGGGCGAATCATCAGCAACAGCAGCATTCTCAGCATCAACCCTCGCAACTGCCTGTCCCTCAGCAGACTCCGCAACAGTCTCCTGCCAGCCAGCCTCAACCTACCCAGACAAAATCTCAGCCTGCAGCAAAGCCCGCTGCGCCGAAGGTGCAGTACAAGGTATAACCACCTAGTCCATGACATTTCCTCAAGTGGGACAAGCCCAAGCTGATCCAATGATAGATCCCCGAGAAGCAGACCCCGGTTCCCCTCCCAGCCAAGTACCTTGCGGCCATGGGCATGATGCCTTCGGCTGCTACTCCATCCAAGGCCAGTTCGAAATCAACCGGAGCGTCTGTGCAAGACACGAACCCACCCCCGGCTTCTCGCCCGGGGAAGGATGTAATACAGAACACATCGACGGCAGCCGTCAATGGCCTTTCCACGCAAACGGCTTCTCAAGTGTCAAGATTAGCTGGCCCAACGACAGAGGCGGCGCCTCGCGTAGCTCAAGCTCCCGTGCCGGTACCGCACACGCCAGTGCCGGCTCCAGCCTCTCGAATGCCGTTTACAAATCAATCGATGACTACAGCGTTCCCTCGACAGCCTACGCAGTCTCAACCACAGGCTTACAATACGCCGTCGGCCCAGCCGTTCCCTCCCACGAGCCGACCACGGACTGAGCATCTCAACCCAGCGGAGCTCTTGGCCCAATTTGCCCTCACTCCGCGCGTGAATCCGCCGACGCCTACAGCCCCTCCCCATCAGTCCATACCGTCGCCGATTCCGCCGCAGACAGCTGCTATGCCAGGCTACCAGAGTCATGGTTCCAATTGGGGACCGACGCAGCAGCAGCAGCAGCAGACACAGCATCCCCAAGCTTGGGCGCCCCCGCCGGGACAGTGGCAGCCTCCACATCATCAGCAGTACCAGCATCCTCCGGCACAGCAATACCAACAGCATTATCAACAGCAGAATCAGCAGCAGCCGCCACCACCGCCGCAACAACAACATCAAATGCGAGCGCAGCCGTCGTTACCCCCGCCCCATCAAACTCCTGAGGACGAGGTTCCTCTGCCCGATGTGCCGACGGACTCAACAGCCATCGTCGAGAGGATGATGCAGAATCTCCGCCGCGCTGCGTTCCAAGGTTGATGCGAAATCTACCTGACCTGCACGATACGTGCACATGTTTGACTAGTCTATGATTCGAAAACCAGACACCAAATCTCTTCCAGTGAAATACAGTCGCCAGTTTGACTGAAGACGACCAAACGAGAAAGAAGGCGGGCGGTGGATGTGTATGGAATGAAGAAATATGCATGATTTTGTAGGGGTCTCGGCGTTGAAACGGGGTGTTGGTCGGGCTAATCTAATTCCTCTCTCATGGAAGTTTCGCTTTCGGGAAGGAGGCTCATGATGGATGGATGGGCTTTTTGTGTTTGTCTTTCACAGTTTTTGAGGTTTTCTTTGCAAAAGCGTACATTAGGTTTCAAGGAGCAAGACGCGAGGAAAGCAGGCTAGCTAGCTAGCTGTAGGCATCACTTGCTTTCCCTGGGCGTCTTGGGTGTATAGATAATGAAACGTGCGATATTGCCCAAATTACGTTTTTGCTCCCTCGTATGGCTCTCTATGTTGATTTAGAAGTCGAGCAAGTCTGAAGATGGTCATTAGCCATCGTGATTTGGTTGGGATTTACCACAGATGTGTAGTCACCACTGCAATCTTGACTATCATCAAACGCAAGGCTGATGGGATTAAGACATTGTCACTACGTCACTTAAAAATGTATCAATAGACAGACGGAACGCGAAGTCACAGACGCAACAACGTAAATAATGATTGATTTTTTTTTTTTTTTGCTTTTCGACAAAAGCTAGCATTCCGTAACTAGCTGACTACAACTTGGCCGGAATATTCTCTTTCTGTACTCCTCTAGTCGCGGTCATTTCATTCCCATCGATTCACGCATACTTGTTGGCGACGAGCCACTCCTTCAGCTTAGCAGCGTCACGCTCGCGGTAGGCGGCGCGGCCGCGGACCTTGTCCTTGACGGTCTCAAGGGTACGGGCAAACGCGCTCGTGTCCTTGTCGGCGAAGAAGGCCTCAATGTCCTTGACGGACTCAAAGTCGGTGAACTTGCCCAGGGAGACCTGGATGAAGCGGTCGACGACAATGGGGTTGCCGAGCTTGGCGAGGCAGGCCTCCCAGTTGTTCTTGACGTAGTCCCACTGGATCTGGCGGGCGACCGAGTTTCCGGCGAGGGCAGAGCCAAGAGAGTGCATGTCGGCGGACGGGACGGAGTCCGAAGCTGGGGCGGGCGGGGACTTGTTGAAGAGGAAGGGGAGCAGGTTGTTCTTGATGATGTCCTCATCGCGGACGAAACCAAGGTTGGAGAGGCAGATCTCCTTGCCGTCGATGGCGGGGGTGGTGAACCACTCCTTCTTCAAGGCCTCGACGGCGCGGGCCGTGTCGTTCTTGATGGCGACGCGGAAGACAGGCGTGCGGAGGGCGGGGTGCAGGGGGTTAGACTCGGGTGACTCGACCCAGGCGTTGAAGCGCTTGGTGGCCTCCTCGGTGACACTGCGGTTGTTAGTACTTATACCGATTGTATCAATGGTGGATTAGGCTTACCCGGCATGGCCGTTGACACCAGCAGTCAAGAGGACTCTCTTGCGGAGAAGTCCGTCGAGGTAGCTCTCGCCCTCGGGGAATTCCCAGCCCATCTTGGCCACGACGTCGTTGATTAGCTTCAAAGTGAAGGTCTCTAGACCCTTCTTGATGGTCTCGTCATCGCTAAAGATGGACTTGACAAGTGCGATAGAGTCAAGGACCTGGCTCCACACCAGGTAGTTGTCCTCCTTGGCGAAGCCTTGGACGAAGGACAGAAGAGCTGCGGTGGTGCCGTAGCCAGAGAAGGCAAGGTCGGCGGAGGAGCCGATGATAGCAATCTTGTCCTCGGTGGTGAGGCGATCGAGCTGCTGTCCAAGCTTCAGAAGACGCTCAGGGGGGTAGTTGACACGGTAGAAACCGGAAGATCCAGAGTTGAGCTTGTAAAAGTCTGTGTCGATATCACGGATCGTGTCCTCCTTCTTCTCAAGGGACAGGGACGTGACGCCCTTGGTGCCGACCTTGCCCTCAATCTCAAGGGGAATCCACCAGGTGGTCTCGTCGTCCTCGGGTTTGACGTCGCCAGTGGAAAGGAAACGAGACTGCTTGACAGAGATCTGGCCGGGCTCCTCGGCGACGGTCAGAACGGGGTGGCCAATCTTGGAAATCCAGGGGCCCATGAGCTTGTTCACGTCCTTGCCGGACGCCTCAGTGAGAGCATCCCACAACGCCTTGGTCTTGGCGTTGCCGTACTGGTGGGCCTTCAGGTAGTTGGAGACACCCTTGAGGAAGGTCTCGACACCGAGGTGGTTGGCGAGCATGCGAATGGCCGAGCAACCCTTGAGGTAGCTGATGTGGTCGAAAATCTGGTTGACGTCAAGGGCGTCCTTGACAGGCACGTGGATGGCGTGACTGGCTCTGATGCCATCAAGCTTGAAGGCCATCTCCATACCCTCGTTGACAAACTGAGACCAAACCTGCCACTCGGGGTGCAGGTAGTCAGTCGCGTGCCATCCAACCCAGGTGGCGAAACCCTCGTTCAGCCACAGCTCATCCCACCAGTCCATAGTAACCAGGTTGCCGAACCATTGGTGAGCCAGCTCGTGAGCGACGACGTAGGCAACACGGTTACGGTATCTGGCCTCGGATGTCTTCTCGTCGAAGAGCACGGCAGTCGTACGGTAGGTGACGAGACCCCAGTTCTCCATGGCTCCGTGGGTGAACTCGTGGACGGCCAACAAGTCGGCCTTGGGCAGGGGGTACTCAATGCCAAAGATGTCGGAGAAGAAATCGATGATGCGAGGCGCGTGCCACAGAGCATAACGACCCTGCTCCTTCAGGCCACGGGTGGTGTAGACACGGACGGGCAGCTGCTTGCCATTGTAGCGGCGCTCGGTGAACTCCTCAACGTACTCAAAGTCACCGACAGCCCAGGCGAGGAGGTATGTGGACATCTTAGGGCTGGTCTCGAACGAAACCAGCTGCCAGCCCTCCTTGGTCTTCTTGGTGTCCTTGACGGGCATGTTGCTGAGGGCAACCTGGTCCTCGGGGATCTCAATCTCAAAGTCAAAGGTAGCCTTGAGGTTAGGCTCGTCGAAACAGGGGAAGGCCCGACGGGCGTCGCAAGACTCGAACTGTGTGCTGAACATGTAGTGCCACTCGTCATCGCGGGGTACAGACTTGGCGGGCTCGGCGGCGGGCTTGTACTTGCTGCGGTAGAAACCAGCCATCTCGTTGTTGATGATGCCCTCAAACTCAATGGTCAGAACAGCCTTTTGCGCCTGGGGGATCTCCTCGTCAAATGTGACGGTAGCGCGCTGCTGCTTCTCGCCATAGCTGAAGTTGGTGGACTCCCATGATTGCGTCGACTTGGTGTGGCCGACAGCGATCTTTGCGCTGAGAAGCTTGATCTCGAGGGCGTTGAGGACGATTTCCTTGGTAGGCTTGACAACCTCGGCATCGATGCTGTAGGGCACAAGCAAGAGGTCAGCATCTTGGGCACATCTTTGCTGTGCTTATTGGACCTCGTGCTGAAGTTGAAGCTGAAGCTGAAGCTCGAAGCTCGGGCGGGGTGAGGGGTAGGGTGTGTCCTTACGTCACGGTTCCCTTGTAAGTCCAGTCCTTGAAGTTGAGGTCACGGAGGGACAGGACGTAGTGGGAGGGCCGAATCGACTCGGGGAGAACTTCGCGATCAGCCATGTTGCCGACTCTGCTGGCGTACAGTGCCTTGTCGGATGTGGTGATTGTCGAGCAGTAGTTGCGGTGGGAAACGGGTGCGGGGAAGGAAGAAGGTCGGCGGTAGCTATTTGTCCGCGAGGCGAGCTTTATGTCAGTTTCGTACCCTTGGGGTGGTTCAAGGTAGGCTACAAAGAGGAGTAGTAAGACAAGGGGATAATAGGGAATGAGAGGACGGAAGAAGAGGAAAGAAAAGTAAGGTGGTAGTAGTAGTAGTAGTAGGAGGAGGGAGGCGGAAGAAAAAAAAGAAGAGTAGTGTAACGGATTCGATCGGAGTAGAAGCTGTAGCAGCTCCACAACAGAGTGCCTTCCTACTTGGGATTATGGGCAAAGCGGCAAGCGGCAAATGGGACGACTGGCGCGTGGTAGTCTGTAGACTCTCAGGTACTGTGGTGGATGGTTGTGGGTTTGATCAAGGTGACAAGGTGAAGGAGAGAGTTCCGGGGTGGATCAATGGTGATGCTCCGAGGTGAGGGGCAACGAGGGGCACACAAAAGGTCCCTGCATGGGTCAAGCTGGTAGCTCTCCTGCGTTCTGCGGCTGTCCACTCCCGTCCACTCATTGAGTGAGGTAAGCGTGGAGTATGTGCTGCCCACCATAGAAGGCGCCGCTACGCTCGACTTGGTCCACGGGTGCGCGCAGGCCACTAATACCTTCCGGTAGAGGCAGCCCAGGAATTGCCCGTTTCTTTCATCGTTGCTGTTCCATTACCAAAGACTAAGGTAAAGTATGGCAAGGCAAGGCACCTAAGGTCTACTAGACCTTTGCTATCCGAGATGAGGGTCTCCGGGAAGATAGAAAAGCCCCAATAGATGGATGGCCATCCGACAAAAGGGGAACCTTGAAAACAAAAGGAAAGCAGACCAGACAGACTTACCTCGCAACGAAGGCATCGCGAGCAATCCGTCCAACTGTGGGAGCCGACGACCAGAAAGCATTAGACGTGGACGTGGTGGAAACTGCTGCCCTGAAGACAGACGAATTCGAAAAGTGGCGTCTGAAGCCAATGTTGTACAAGGATGATGAAGAAAGAGAAGCCGGCGCAGTTGAGCCAAAAGATGACGATGATGGTGGTGTTACAAGAAGTGATGGCAGTGGTGGTACAGATACACAGCAGCCGCGGACCAGACCGCGCGCCGCAGGACCAAACGTCCGTCCGGCCAGCTGCCCGATCGGGTTCATCCTGTTTGATCGGTCCGCCCAGGGCAGACTGAACGCAGAATGAAAGGACTATAGAGCTGAGGATGAGGTTGAGGCAGGTCGTAGACAATCGCCTCAGTGCATCGTCGCTACCGATTCCTTCTTCACGC